CCTATAAAATATTTAAACAAAATATCCCAAGATTTTACAATATTTCGAAAAAAACTCCCAAGATCCCAAGCTTGAGCAGAAAATCCCAAGATCTAGGGAGAAATCCCAGGGCGTGGCAACACTGGTAAATATATTTCTTGATTTATATGCAATTTTTGTCACGCTTGCTATCTCGCGTGAGTTACACGTATGTATGGTCTTCAAGCTATTAGCCATATTTTAAAAAGGTAGGCAAATCTCAACACAAAAAAAAGAAAGTGTTTTCTTGACGATGAATTATCGTCCACCAGCGGTGTGAAGTAAACATCTATATAAATTATAAGAGCGTGACCACAGTACAGTATGTAGCTACTATTCAAGACCGTGACTTTGTTAGTCTAATGTTGCCGAGAAAGTTGTGTATGACCTCATCAAAAACTTGAGATATGGGTTTATCGTTAAAATGAACCTCAACAAAAGAAGCAAATATCTTATCTGCGAGAAGCGACAATATTTCATTTCGTGAACATTATCACATCTAACAATCGAACAAAGTTGGCATTTTAAAAGAAATGTGTTTAAAACAAATGTAGTGTTAATAAACAATGTCAGTTGTGTAGAAAGCAATGATATACACAATGATTTGTTTTTTGTGCGAGAAAATCTAGGTTTTGACGATTGGTAAGTGTGATTTTTTAAGTCTAAAAATGTTAAAAACACTTAAAACAGTCAAAATTATCGTAATGACAGAGTACCAAAAAGGTTTTGAATTGCAAAATCGTCAAGACTACTAACGGTTGAGTTTACATAATTAATTGAATTTACTCATGATGAACAATTTGGTTATAATAAACAAAATGAATTTGCAGGAAATGTTTGCAAAAAGTATTGTGTACCAATTAATTTCTACTCAATTGGTATTGCCGCATTGGTTGTTTCGACCTAAGTAAATTAGTTTATCTCAGACCAATCTTTATATCATATTTTTTTGGTGTTAACATTCAAATTGTTACAGTGATGTGTCTAAGAAATTTAATTCTATAAAACACTTAAGCATTTCCTCCTTTTCGAAAATGTTTTTGTATCGTAGTTTTCACTGATTATCTTTCGTGTGAAAACAGTATTTATAAAATAAAAACAAGAAAACGCGTGCGGTGATTGGTCTAGAGCCGTGTTTGCATTAGCCTGTGCAAAACACATCTGAGCTCAACCAATCAAATCCATGAAAACAATCAACCAGTCAAAGAAAATTTGCAAATCGATCATGAATACATTTCAGAGGAAAAATTAAAATGTTTGTCTTTTTCGCATTATTTTTATTTTATAAAAGAAATAAAGATGTTTTTCATGTTTACACTTGCTTTTGCAAACCTCGGAGACGTTTGTGGGAACTCTCGAGCAGGTGCAACCAACGGCTTGCACTGATCTGCTCTCGAGTTCTCCCAAGTCTCCTCGGTTTCCATAAGCCTGCGTAAACACAGTAAACATCTTTTAGTTCTTAATAGAAATCAAGAGAGTAAATGATGGAAATATTATGAACTATATATTTGAACAGTAATAAACCGGTATGTTTTTAAAAGCAAGTATACCTGACCGCTTGTTCGCTCCAGATCTTAAAAAATCATTGGTTTAACCATTCAAAAACCATTAATCTTAAAAAAACCATTGGTTTAATCATGGTTTAACCGAGTTTGAATATACATCACAGCTATTTGTAACCAAGAGATGGCGAGGAAAATGTATTTGATATCAAAGTCTGGACAGTATAATTTTGAAACGTAGAACGAAAAGTTTTATCACGGAACAGAAGTGAAATTTAAGAATAAAAAAACAATTCAACAAGTTTACGTGCTTGATGACTGAATTAATTAAAGGACTTCTTGCTATTATAACAAATAATATAATAATAATTACAATAATGTAACGTAACAGTACAATTACGATAAGAGCTGATTTTGCATTAACACTTCCTTAGGAAAAAGATATAATTATACGAAAATGCAACATGCTTATGCATCTCTTTCGGCATGGTTGAAGACATTTGACGAGCATTGAAAGAAAGGTTTATTCAATCAACACAAATTCCACACAAGAAAATAGAACATGCAGTTTTTGACGCAGGTTTTAATGCAAAATCGCAATTTTCAAATACTTATTTTCAATAAATTAGTTGGGGGAGTAGATTTTCTAACGATTCTATCATGCCTATTGGTAAGGTTACGAACGTTTGTAACACTATAGCTAAATACCTTTTTACTCTGAAATATCATCAGCATGCATCCTTCATATAAATAGACGTCGATCACAATTCAAGTTCGATCTCTATCTATCAATATTGAGATATATATACTATACAATAGAGTCTATACGTGAAAATTTGTCAACACGCCTTTATACACTGGATATCAACAAGAAAGTTTCCTTTGTAAAAGTACATAACGTTCAGAAGAAAGTTCAATGTTTTTATTTAATTTTCGACATTACGGTCTTATAATTCATTGTTTTCAAAAAACAAACAACGCATGTCATCATAGAAATAGGTTTATCATAATTTAACAAAAGTATTCGTATCGTTTCCAAGTAATTTCAATCTACTTGAATCAGCTGTTACGAACGTCCCGACTAATAATAAAATGGCCGCTTTTGGTTCAATTGCTCGTAACAAAAGGAGTAAAACCTTGTGGAGAAGTTGTTGTCAATTCTTAAAATATTTATTTAATATACTAATAATTTTGATATAATCGTTATAACATAAATGTTTAAATATTCAAACTTATGTAGACAACTGCTTTCAGACTTTCAGTGACTCTTTCGTTGATGGATAGGATATATATCTGTATTCTTTCATTATTTTCTTAAATAGTTCGTCTTCTTTTACATGAGCTTTCTTCTGATGTGGACTTATACTAAGCACCAACATCACTACAACGTTCGATTTTCGGCTTATATATGATTGCACAATGAAGTACGATTAAACGCTTGTGCGTAAACTGTGGTCAGTTGATTAACCATGTATCCTGTAAGTTGTTTGTGGTCAGTAGGTTGACCACGTCCTATACGTAAGCTTTCCTGTTATTGTGGTTAACATACACATGCATGTATGAGTAAGGCATTTTACTAATTAGTTAACTAATAATATTTAAGTATATACCAATAATAAGTATCATTTACATGATTATGTATTATCATGTAACACCCTTCCCCTTAAAAAAAAAGAAAGATTGAAAAGCTTTCTTTAAGATAATAATGTTCTAAGGTCGTGAGAGACAATCAGCGATGAGGTTGTCTCTACCTTTAATGTGTTTGATAACAAGGTTGAATTCGGATAATAATAGACTCCAACGGAGCAAACGTTGATTCTTGTTCTTCATTTTACTGATGAAAACGAGAGGGTTGTGATCGCTAAAAACTTCGAGAGGATTTCCACATGAAGAAACATAGACATCAAAGTGTTGTAGGGCCAAGATTAGAGCTAAACATTCCTTTTCAATAGTGGAGTAATTTTGTTGATGAGTATTAAATTTTCTTGAAAAATAACATACCGGGTGATCGACACCATCCTTGCCTTCTTGTAACAAAACTGCTCACTTGCATCGACAGCAAGTTTGAAGGGGCGTTGAAAATCTGGAGCGGACAAAACCGGGGAATGTTGTAATAGGGCTTTTAGCTGGTCAAAAGCGTTCTGGCATGAGGTTGTCCAAGTAAAATTGACATTTTTCCGTAGCAAATTGGTCAACGGTTCGGTTATTGTTGAAAAGTTTGGGCAAAATTTTCGATAATAGCCAGCCATACCGAGAAAACGCATTAAGTGTTTCTTTGAAGTGGGCTGAGGAAATTTGGAGATCGCTTCGACCTTAGCATTGACTGGTTTTACTTGACCTTGTCCGACTACATGTCCAAGATATGTCACATGACCACATCCAAATTCGCTTTTCGCAAGATTGATGGTGAGACGAGCCTCACATAACCTTCGAAAAAACTGCCGCATTATTTTTAGATGTTCTCCCCATGTATCACTATAGATAATTACATCATCAATATACGCTTCACATCCTTTGATGTCCATTATGATGTGATTAATCAAACGTTGGAATGTCGCTGGAGAGTTTTTCATACCAAATGGCATGACTTTATACTGAAAAAGTCCCTTGGGTGTAACGAATGCAGATATTTCTTTTGCATTGTCGCTTAATGGTATCTGCCAAAATCCTTTTAGAAGATCGAATTTGCTTCGATCATTATATGAACATTTAATGATCGAACTGACTTTTATTATTTTACAAAGCAGTATTTATCTGTCAGGCAACTGACAGATAATATTTTATTTGCTGACTATATACATCGACTAAAAGGCAACTGACAGATAATATTTTATTTGCTGACTATATACATCGACTAAAAGGTGTTAAGTTACATGACGGCATGCACTAAACATATCGGAACGTTTATTTAAAATGGTCTATATATATATAAGGTATAGATATCTATATATCTATACCTTGAGTATACTCTATACCTTGAGTAACAACCACGAATGAACTTAATGATCGAACTGATTTTTATTATTTTACAAAGCAGTATTTATACTATTTATTACAAACAACAAACAATACTATTGGCAGGAGTAGTTCCTCTGTTTACACTATATATGGTATATAAGGAAATTTAACTAACGTCAATAACTGTTCCTTGGCTCTTAGCCGTGTGGGAACGGATACATTAATAAACTAAACTACGCACATTCTATTTCCTTAACATGTTTTTGTGGTTTATGAGCATGACTCAACACCAATTATTTCCAAAATATTGCCAATACGGCAGTTGTCAAGTAGTTTCATGCATTCTGACTTACTCTGCAGCGAAAGTAGTGTTTGCAATTCAGTTATTGTATGTGCATATGCTTAGTGTGATGAAGCAATTAAACTTGCAATACCTTCGTATTGTTATTCCACATACCGCTTTTTACGAATAATAAAGAACTCAGAACGTTAACATATTTAGCTTTATTATAGAGCAATACAATGGAAGGAGAACAAGAAAGTTGACAATGCGCATACGATGATGTTTTTTTTTACAAAAAAGTTAAAGTGGGTAAAATCGTTTTCGCGGCAAGAGGATAAAACAATTCGCGCGCGTAACGATGGTGACATTTAATATTTATCTTTCAGTTCACGTTTCACGTAACTAATTTCAATATGACTGCTGTGTTCCGATCTCTCGATTTAGCTACAAGTCATATATCTAGTGATGCTAATGGCCCTTGTATTTCTTGCACAAGTTTAACAAAATACACTTGTTTAAAGTGCAAAAAATTTATATGTACAAGGTGCTCTATTTTTGAAGACGACGAAGAGAGTGTTGGTTGGAAAGCAGGACGAGCGGTTTCTCGTTGCGATGCATGTTTTCGTGAAAAGATTGGGAGTGAGGAAGTCGATCAAGAAATTGGTAGGAGTACATCTTCTCGGGCGAGCATACGTTCATTTCGACTGTCCTCTTGTGAGATCACCGAAGGCGAAGTTATGGGTCCAACTGAAAGGTATGTATGTAAGTTATGAAGTATGAAATCCATTTATGGTATGTAAATATGCTATGGTATTTTATAGTATCATTGAGCTTAATAAATAGTGTTATTATTTCTATTATATATGGTTGTCATTGTAAATTTTTTAAAATTCTGGCTTAAATAGTGTTAGAAATGTGTTCATGGAAGTAGTCCTTTACTCGTTTGAAACAAACAGGTTTATTTTAACATAGATTTAGAAAAAGCATGTTAGATTTAGTTAGATTTACTAAGGTATTTTATTTATACAACTTTTGCATACAAATGCACATCATGCTAGGTATTGATATTACTAAATTAACAGTCATAATTTCTACAAGCCATCACATTAGGGAGTCATTACTTGTTTACAGTGCAACTTCTTGTTTCTCATTACATTTGTTACAATTTGGTTTTTTTCTTCATAAAGCATTTTTATTTATTATCTGTTCTTTGCATGGTCGATAGTTTGAAATTTTGATTAATTACAAAAAATTGAATGAGTAAATCATGTTAAATTTAATTTAACTTTGTTTCTTTTTAGTGTGGAATATGATGAGTTTGAACATGATTTACTTGATCAGTCAAATGACGATAGTGATTTGAAAGAAATTGATGAAAAGAGAAAAAAGAGACCTGGCCGTAAGTCTACTTGGAACCCTGATGATGTAAATGATTTAATTGACATCGTTTTGAACAGTGATTATTACAAAAGAAAACTTATATTCACCAATACAAAGTGCCAACGAAATAGTGAGAGTTATGGGGAAATTTTAAGAGAGCTGAAAAAGAGAGCTTTAGCAAGAGGTAGTGAGTTGAAGTCCAGTGTAAAGCAGTTACGTACAAAGTTCAAGAAATGTGTTAGTGACTGTAAACATGCTGCGCTTACAATTAAAAATGCATCTGGAATCAAATGTTTTCAAGAGAGTCGTGGTCTTGGGGACTGGTTTAAAGCATTGTATCCTGTAGTAAAGACCAGAGATTCTTGTAATCCAGGTCTGGCCATAGAGCCAGATACGTTTGGAGCATCGCCAAGTCCATCTAATTCTGAAGCTTTAGATGATGATGAAACGTTAAGATCTTTGGAAGTAACTTTTAAGACAACTTTACAGTTTCGATAACAACAGGAAGCAGGGCTGGATTAACCACTCGGGAGGACTGGGGACCACCTTATGCTGGATGGCCTTTTTTTACCACATTGTTGAAAGTCCTTTGCACCTCTAAAAAGCAAATAGACATTCATTTCATTTGAGATTATAACTGGCCTCTGTCCAAGGTCTGGCGCTGGTCGTTGTTCAACACCATTAGTCCATTGTTATTACAGACATTGGACTATTTCTCCTGTTGTCGTCACTTGTATTATCAGTAAGCAATTTGACTAATCGGGTGGGCGATCCCTTTTCTCTTGTTTTGTTGGTGGTCAAGGACCTGATCTATTATGTCCACCCCTTAATCCGGCATTGACATGAAGCATATATGAGATGCACTAGCCGATTCTCTAATGGTGTTTACCATAAGTTAGAACAAAAACCAAAAGAAGATACTGCTCAACATGAAGAAATGGGAACTAATAAAAAAATCCAATTCATTCTTCACGCATAGCATAAATCGACGAATTGTGAATACAGCTTGCTAATTTTTCATTCTTAGATACGAGCAACAAGATTAAATCTCTAAATTAATTAGATGTTGATCAGCCAAGTGAAATTAATACAGAAGGCCGTGTCAATTTTTTTAAAATCACTACTGAGAATATGTCTGGCCCAATTTGCTATACAATCCATACTTTCGCCAAAAGTTCGACTCGTTTTTTAGCTCCTTGACCCAACAGCATGTCGTGAAAAGTCAAAACAAATCTAATATTGCCTAAACAAACACTCCAAATCAACTATATTGTGAACCCTTCTGGATTTCTTATCAATTCCTTGAATATCAATTGTTCACCTACGTCACTTTTTTATTTCATATAGTCCCACATAAAGACGAGGAGAGAAATGTTTTGAAATCAATCAAACAAAGTAATATTGATAACATGCCACGGACAAAAGATGACTCAAGTCCCTTTGTACTGTTGATGAACAAACTGTCGCAGACATTTCCGTCGAAAACGAGGCAAGAAAACAACCACTTTTTCATACGATAGTCCTTTTTCATCGCAAGCATTTCAATTTTGTTTGGAAATTATCTTTATCGACAATACGTAATTGACTGTCTTAGAGAGGAACTTGTCGAGTTGTTAAAGATAGCCAAGGGGACTTTCGGAGATAAAGGTTTTAGAGGAAAGAAAATAGAAGAAATCGTTAAGCGAGTTATGAAAATCACTGTTTGAGTACATAAGCAGGTATGATTCAATCTTTACAATGATTTGTAAGCGTTTAAATATACTAAGACTACGTTTACACTACGCCGGAAAACGTGACGGCAAAATTTGACTGCGTTTACACGTTTAAATTCACTGTCAAAATTCGTTAGTTGTTTGTGAAAGAGGGCGCCATTTCTTATTTTCATATTGCTAGATGTTTATAGGTCAAAACAATGATTTGTAATAATTACAACGACACCAGTCATTAAAAGCTTTCCAAAACATAAAATGTTCCCCATTTTCAACTATGCGCTTCAGACCGATCCGGAGTAGTGTAAACGTAGTCTAAGTAGACAAAAGCTGCACTTTTAATCCTCCTTTTTCATACTTACGATATAACTGCTAAAACATTAAATAGACTATTGTTAAAAATCGACCAACCTAACACGAGCATATTCATCATTAAAGTTGCATCCGAGTCCAAGAATATTTCACTGGAGGATTAACTCGATGAATATCACGTTGGATATCGAATTTTTCATACCTTTTTTAGTTTACGCAAGAATGCAGAACACGCATTATTGTTTTATATAAAAGCCCATCTGTGTAAATCTTTAGTTAAAGTTGAAGAACATGTTCAAAATTAAAAGCGACGGTCATTTTCCTTCTCTCTCTCTCCGTCCTACATTGATGTTTTAACGATACGCTCTAAGTGATCCAAGAATATCGTCGTGGTTTACAAGAATTTTCAAAAGGGGTCATGAATTATTAAAGTTTGTTCAGACATGTGCATTGGAAGATAAAAGTATTTTTATCGAGTAGCTGTATTTCACTTTTTTTTATACCAAAAGTTAGCAACTCTGCTTCATGTAATTTCAAATCAAACGGACGAGAATATACTCGAGTATGCTGCATATGCATAAGAATAGAGAGGGCAGTAAAAATGCTGTTCTGATATTGAAGACATGTCGTTTCGCAGACACGTTTACGCTTAGCGTAACTATTTTTCATTATCATATCGATATCTAAAAAATTTGTGGTAAGCGTAATTGCGAAAGCTTAGAATTCAGACGCCATTTTGAAATGATTGATTGATAATTAGAGGGCTTATGACATCCAAAGATATTTCATCCTTTAATGACGTGCATAATATTCAGGTATCTCTCTGTTCTGCTAAGTGATCATACGTGATTAACTATCTTTTTTGGTTAAACATTTTTCAGAGGTGTCATGTTTCGCCCAATCATGTAAATCTACGGACGAAAGTTGAAGTGTAGCAACCGCGATTAATTTGGCGCGCCTGGCATGACGGTCCACCCTCTTGACTGGAGATGATTACTCTAAAATTGCTATTTCATCTAGCCATAGCTATAGCTCATGTACTTTATAATTTCAGTCATACGGTTTTTGTCTGCCCAGGCCTGACGTAAGATAGAAATAAACTCGGCTAAATCATTGTTAACGGTTTTCTGCGCAACGGTTAAATGTGACCTTGAAAGTGCCATAGGAACTATCGAAATACAAAAGATAGTAGTAGAATAAGCTTCGTGTAATCAAATAATAAGTCTTTATAACACAACATGTACCTAAAATTATTTCAGTTGATCCGATATGATCTGTAATATTTCGACAAGGCTGACGGGAAGTTTTATCAAAGCGTTGTAGAAAGACTTTTAAAAATAAGTGAACATACTTGGCGTTCATCCTATTGGACTTGTTAAGCTAGTGTATAGTAGCTACTGTTGCTAAATGGCGTGTGAAAAAGGATGCGTTGTTAAATGTCACTAATGCTCATTTTTGTTGCTTCGTTTTAATAGAGTCCGTGAATTTATGTCACTGACAGATTGGCCTAAATTGAGAGACACTAAAAGAAGAAATGTCCAAACAGCAAGGAATGCTACTTTTCAGCTGAGTTCATTATTTATTTACTGGCGGTTACATGAAAGATGTTTTTTTGCGTTTTTGTTCACTTAAAGTCCATACAACCTTGGCAATCAATAGATGACTTGTCGTGTTAGACGTTCTGTAAGGCTAAAATATCGCTGTAATGCAAACCAAAAAGGGAGAAACTTTACTAAAAAAGAAAAGAAACTTTTGCAAAACAGAGGGACGTTCTTGAAAATTTGTTCATACAATTACGTATGCATCCAGGAAAATTTCATATGTTCATAGTTCGGATTGTTTATAGTTGTGTATTTATTGTTATTTTGCTATAAATGAATGTACAATTTCATTTGTTGTGCAGATATTGTTATTTCGCTGTACATATAGCTACTAAGGGGTGTTTATCGTTTTTTACACACTAAAATTCCCTTGTATTCTTGTGTGTACGGTTTTGCATGATTGTGAAGTTCGTTACATGTTTGTAAATGTAGATCGTCCAGGTTGGTATAGTCCTGAGAAGGACTGTTTTTGTTGTTGTTGACTGACGTTTCGGCAACCTTAGCGGTAGTCATCTTCAGAGTCAAAAGCTTTGTCTTAGTCATCTTCAGATTCAAACCATTTACTTTATTGTAAAGTTACTCTTAATTTGTTTCGTTTGTTTCCACTTCTGATATTTTCCGTTGTGCATAGTCGACTTGTAGCTCAAGATTTGTTTCTTTTCTAATGCATGCAAAAGATGCCAAATTCTTTTTATTTCATAAAGGCCATCATTCAATATGCGTTCGCACATTTTCTATTTACCAAAAACCTAAAATCTCTAGCTTTATTTTAATCCACCGTGAATAAACAATGTTTGAGAGTTTATTTTTTTCGATTGAAGTCATGAAAACGTAGATAAACTAAATTCCCAGAGATTTAGTCAAAACAATGTCATCACTCATAGCATGTGTATTTCTTAAAGTTTAATTGATAATGTTCAATGCAATTTAACTTAAGCTGACCGTGTCTCTCTAATAAAACGTTTTTACGACCGTGGTTATTTATGCCGAAAACTGGCATAGCTTATATTTGTAACACATTTTTCTAAACACTTTAACACCGTTAGCATTCTCATCACTTCTTTAAACTTGAACTGACCGTGTCTCTCTAATAAAATGTTTTTACGAACATGGTTATATATCCCGAAAACTGGCATACTTTATATTTCGACCACATTTTTCTAAACACTTTAACACTGTTAGCATTCTCATCACTCGTTTAAACTCAAACTAACAATGTCTCTCTAATAAAACGTTTTTACTACCATGGTTATATATGCCAAAAACTGGCATACTTTATATTTCGACCACATTTTTCTAAACACTTTAACACTGTTAGCATTCTTATCACTCGTTTAAACTCAAACTAACAAGGTCTCTCTAATAAAACGTTTTTACGACCATAGTTATATATGCCGAAAACTGGCATACTTTATATTACTACCACATTCTTCGTTTTATTACAGAGACATTGTTTAAACGTTTTATTACAGAGACATTGTTTAAACGTTTTATTGCAGAGACACTGTTAGTTTGAGTTGAAACGAGGGATGAGAATGCTAACACTGTTAAAGTGTTTAAAAGAATGTGGTAGAAATATAAAGTATGCCAGTTTTCGGCATATATAACCATGGTCGTAAAAACGTTTTATTAGAGAGACACTGTCAGTTTAAGTTTAAACAAGTTATGAGAATGCTAACAGTGTTAAAGTGTTTAGAAGAATGTGTTAGAAATATAAGGTATGCCAGTTTATTGCCGTTACACATACCGTTTTGTTTACCATTAGCAAGAAAAGAGATTGCACTAGGTTTAATTAATGATTTATTTATGTCTTTATTGTGTGTTTTCTAAACTATGTTTAAAATTGATTGCAATTCTTCCAGATGGCAACAACGATAAGAAAATTTTCAGGAAAATTCTCAACAAGACAGAACTAACCGAAATCGTCGTTTCCTATTGGAATTACAGTACAGACTTAAGATAATACTTTGAATAATTAAATGTAAAAAATGTTAAAAAAAGAAAATAAATTGTCCTAAAAAGAATACGTCAAATGTATCTTTACGATAAGTTCTCCACACTTTATGTGATTATTACACATCCTATTAATAAATTGATGTGTACAGTTTAATGAAGAAAACATCGAAGAAGAGTACCAGGACATGGAAAAAGAAACTGAAATAGAGGAAATAAACGAGAAGAAAGCACACGAGTTCGAACAAGAAAAGAAGCATGAAGATATCGACGAAGAAGAAATTCAAGATAAAGATATGGACTACCAGCACAACACAGAGAAATATCTTAAAGAAGAAGAAACGAAGATAACGAAATGAGAGTATATAATTTCAAGATAACTAAATGGATTGAAATTTTCCTGAACTAAACAAGCTCTTCTTGGAGCTTTTCTGAACTAACAAGCTCTTACTTCAGTTTCTTCGCTGTTGATTTTTTGAATGGAAACTTTCAAATATCAAGAAACAGTCAAAAAATAGGAATTTATCTGTCAAATAAAATACTATCGATGTCTCAAAGTATAGTTGTTGTATTTTTGTTGTGTCATTTTGAATTATGAAATTGCGTGGTGACAGGCGCCGTGTGGTTTGCCAGATATTTTTATTGGAATTTGACAAAGAAAATCAAACTGAAGTAATATCAAACTGAAATTATCGACAAAGCAAAACAACCTGCTCACAACGAAAAAACTTACAAACAACATATCACTTAGAAATGTCTTAATTTCTACGACAGCAATTAATGCAGGTTGTATAAATAATTTATTGAGAATGATTATATTACAATGCATTTTACAGGTGTGGATATTTTGCTCTTAGAAATTGAATAGTCTCGACATGGATCAAAATTACAAAAACCTTTGAATTGAACAGAGTATGAAATAAAAGCACAAAAGCTGCTTATTAATAAAGTAACTATATCTTTTCGCCAAATGATATTATTTAACATCAAGTACTGTATTCATCGCGTGTGTTGTAATCGAACTCCATTAAATAGACGGACGAAACGAAGGAACTAACTTTGTGGAATGTGGGATAGTTTTAATCTTATAACAACATGCGTTTTCATTCTTGACAGTCATGTTATGACACTGAGCAGTGAACATTTGCTGAATATTCTTTAAGTGTTCTCATCGACGAAACATTGACGGTATCTACGCATTTATTATAATACAAAAAGCATATAAATACGGTTCTAAAACGTGTGAGTACAAAGAGAAATTAAAGACAGTCGTGGTTTCATATATTGTTGGTAATCTCAAACCGTCGGCAAAAATTTCCTCAAATATTGAGTTTGAAATATAACTTCGCTCATGGCTTTGTTATCTGAGAGAATATTCTGTTACTATACAATCTTTATTCTGCTGTCTTTCATGGTAAATCATCGCGTTAGGTCATCTCGATTTCTTCCTACTGTTGTATGGGATCATTTAAATCCAATGTAAGTAACGCCATATTGCTTAGACTGTTTTCATAAAACTGCTTGATTACACAAAATGACGCTCTGCACTCTAGGCAAAGCACTGATTTGACTGTCTGTTTATATTGATGAAAGTACGATGTGTTGAACAATTGCCTCTGTTCTAGAAAAATTTATTTAAATAAAGTTTCATTACGTAAAAAGAATTATTATATAAATATTAAAGTACAGAATATAATGCTTAAAACAGCCATAAAGAAGAGAAACAATATATGTTTTTTCTTTGTGGCTGTTTTACGCATTATATTCTGGGCTTTAATATTTATATTTCGATTACGATTCCCGCCTAGTTGCATGAAACAACTATCATGGAAACAGCCGTTTTACATTCGTTTTACATGCAAGTTCATGATTTCATGGATAGTTCAATTTTATCTGTAGCTTGGCGACCATTAAAATATTTTTCAAACAAACAGAAAAATAAAAAAAAAACAGTATCCAGATTTCGTGCAATTGAAGTGTTTTTCTTTATTCGCTATTCCCTCGTAAGAAAATATATACCTAATTCTTTGAATCCATTTGTTAAAAATTACATTTTCTTTTAGCTTCAAGACAAAGCTAATCCAGGAATAGCGAAGTTGAAATATCTGACCGACAAGTGTATTTGTACCTGGACAAAATAGCCAGCACACACGCGCTTTGTTTCAATCTGGAGTTCTAACGTGACTTTAAAGTCGGAATAGTTCAACCTGTCCCTGTGTCCGTGTACGAACGACTATTATGATCCAGGTAAGGGCTTATTTATTCACAGCTCGAGAACTTTGAGATAGGAACGAGTTGTTTCACTACATACATAATATTAGAAAAAGCAAGATTTTGTATCGAGCTAGTACTTATAGTGGAGTATCTTCTTTTCTTCCATATCTTTAGAGAAAATATGTACGAAGTTCTACGGTCCTAAAGTTGACAGTCGTCTTCATGACTTCATCTACGGACTTGCGACCATGACTCGTGTAAATGTGCTCAAGGTAGGATAAACAGTTGATATCCATGTGTAGTATCATGGATAAGAAATAACAATTGTAAATTTTCCACAGATAAATGCAGTTTCTGTAAGCCTTCTGATGACGCCTACGTCGTGATTAGACAGCTGTGTCGAAAATATCACTCCAGTAAGTCTTGTGTTTTATACAGAGGTTCCATATTTTCATGTAAAGTAATCATGACAAGAAAGTCTCATAGTTGCCATGAATAAAGTTCGCCTCAAGCATCAATGCAACATATTGTCGATTGCTTGTGTTTTCCAACATTAAACATCAAGTGTTGGGAACGTAAGAGGCGAAATTTTGTCTGACTACATAATTCCAATTTTAGGTTTTCGAGGAGTACTACGGTCCATTAATGAACCGTAGTACTCCTCGAAAAGTCCGACAGTTTTACAACCTCCAACAGGCTCTGGCTACTATAAAAGGATGGAATCCAGTATGGAACCCAAAATATTTTATGGTGGATTACTCATTAGCAGAAATAGGCGCGATAGAAAAAGTTTTCCCGATGTACAGGTTTGTGTTTGCGACTTTCACAGGTTGCAAGCGCTAAAACGGTGGGCTTCAGCAAGCAAGAATGGATTGTCATATGAACAGCAACAACACTTCCTTCTGCAAATGAAAAGATTGCTAATGTCAGTACCAAACAGGAGTACGACAAGGCAGTAAAAGATTTTCGAGAGTCCAAAGTGTATAAAGAATGCAGCAAGATGAGAGAATATGTTGACCGTACGTGGTTTTCTTGCGCTGTCAGATGGGCACACGCTTTTCGAAAACAGCAAGTCACCAACATTGTTAATACTAACAATGGCGTTGAGGCTCAAAACAGAGTCTTTAAATACGAATACTTACCCCAAAGTATTGACAAATCTGTGTATGGTATTGCGGTGATGTTGGTTAAATCTTTCATTCCCGATGTTCTTCAGCACTATTTGGATGCAAATCTACGACTGAGCAGCGCCTACTGCAAGTACAACCCATCAATCCCAGAATACTTGCACAACAGACCTCCGCACTCTTTGAAATGTTGCCTTAAAAATCGATACGCTTCAGCCATTTTCAAACAGGACGACATAACTCCGGTTAATTTAAAGAAGGGCACGTTCAATGTCAAGAGCGAGAGCAATGTTGGAAAAAAACATTTCATAGACTTCCGAGAACCAAGTTGTACCTGCAACATATGGCACACTACCCATTTCCCTTGCAAACATTTTTTCGCAGTTTTTTCTTTCTATGACGAGTGGGATTTCGAAAATCTTCCAGAAGACTACCGAAATAGCGTTTTCATCACTCTCGACAATGAACCTCTTGGATTGCCACAAGATACTACGGCAGAAGAACTAGAGGAAGCCAATACGTCATCATGGAGCACCATCAAAAGAGACGTTGTTTTGCAAGAATCGTTGTCTTCTGATAACAAAAAATATATCCACGACATACCCCACGAAGAAACAGTTAAATTTGAAACTACTTCAAACAAAAGTTCCAAAAGGCTCAGAAAGATCTTGCAAGAACAACTGGGCCAAATACACAGTATGACCTTCCTGATCGACAACGAGACCACTCTACAAGAAGCAGTGCAAAAAGCTGAAAGCTTGAAACAGTTTCTTGAACAAAACTTTCCACAGAAAATGGTTTGCCTCTTCGATTGAGTCCTGTGAAAAAAAAATTAAAAGGTTACCGAGACAAAATACCATCAAATCTTTCATAAGGCCCTACCTCCCAGACGACGCAAGACAAAAAAATCTACACCATTTACAATAGATCTTACTAATGTGGGCGATGAAATGGCACAAGTAAGACAAGTTATTGAATTGCTTTCTTGTCATTTCTTAAAAAAGCTTCTCTCAAATCATTACTTTTATGTTTAAAAAATTTCTTATCCGTCCGAAAAGAGTAAAAAGACAAAAGCACTTATCTTACTTTCCAAGATCTTATTAAAGTATTGTTTCAAAAGTAATTTTCACTAGCCATTAGATATACAATACAAAGGGCATCACCAAATTGTGGGTTTTTGTCTTCTAAATCGCACTCATTTTGCCATACTCGAAAACAACGTTTGAAAAGTTGTTCGTAATTCTTTAGATTACATCTCGTCACGAGTATTTTCTTAAAGTAGTCTTTTTATTTTCATAGGTATCCACTAATGTGCAAAACCAGGAGAATGAAAAAAGCAATTCAAGCAGGTACAAACACATAGCAATAGAGAAATATTGAATGGAGAAAAAATTTTCCAAAAATATTTGTGCAATGATGAGAGGGGGGTAGTAACATTTCAGTGTAGTATTTATATTTACTATGTAGTAATTATTTAATATGAGTGACATTTTGATATTTACACAAAATTATTGCAGGTGGAGTTTGTGCCTGTAATAGATAAAAGAAAAGCAGACATTCAACTAAAACAAGATTCCTCCAGCAACAAGTACATATAGAAACCTTGAAAATTAGTGGAAAGAACTTACGATAATTCAGATGTCAATCATATTCCAAATTTCAGAACAGACCATTCTATATTGAGGCCTCATTTGCTACGAACACCTGAATACTGCTGGTGTGATGAAGATGCTATGGCACAATATTCTCTGGTAGGTTGTTAGGAAACTTAAGTGAACCTTTTATGAACAGCATACAAAGTCCAAGTGATCCAGAAATGTTTGAACTTGTGTATAGTGCACATCAGCACATCATTAGAGATGTGTATAAGCACATCATTAGAGATATGCCATAATGACAATCCATTATTAAAGTAAATGGTTTGAACTCCTCATTTGACTCTGAAGATGACTACCGCTAAGGTTTTCGAAATGTCAGTCAACAACAAAAACAATCCTCTCAGGACTATACTAACCTGGACAATCTACATCTACAAACAAATACCATTATTATTGCAACTTTATTGCAGGTTATGTATAGTGGAATAGAGTGGAATTGTGTCATTGCATAAATAACAAGAGAATGCCAGGCACATGTTTTTCTAAATACAACATTTTACAATTTTAGGGCATTGAGCAACCTCTATATGTCATTGAGGTTACAGTTCATCCCTACCCAGGTAAACTTGTTGAGATTTGGGACAATGCGTACCATCTGGACATACACCCAGTTCATGAAGATGAAGAAGGCAATTGCTATTTCCGTAGGCAAGCAAGTCTCGTACAGGTGCACATCCTTAAAATGCTTACAAGAAACTATGCACAAAAGTAGTTTTAGAAATCATCATTCACCCATCTGTAACATGCAAAACGACCTCTGCTTAAACATAAAACTTGGTGAACTTCCATTAATTGACCATCTTGCTTTCAATAGTACAAGCATTCCGATATATATGAACAAAGTAAAGAATAAGTGAGACAATTTTATGAAGGGATCATTAGCAAGTATGTAATTATTGCCCATTGGCCTTTCAAGATAAAATTTGGTTTTTGACCTGTGCATTTCTTTCCCTCATTTAAATCCAATTTAAACATATTTGTTAGGTTGAAAGATGAAGTTCGCCTGGCAAAAGCACTTCATGTGAATTTAACTAGAAGAAAAATTGAGAAACATGAAATAATTTTTCTTCAGATTCTTCCAGAAGAAAAGTCTACAAACATTGCACGCAACAACCAAGGAATTCCATCCCACTTAAAACATAATTCTTACATACTTCTTATTTAACATTAAAGTTGTTATAAATTATTATGATGCTCGAGTTATTGTCATAATTCTGTGAAACTTCACATCAACATTCATCTGGGTTTTAAGAAAGTGAAGACATGTTACTTTGAAGGAAAGATTGCCAACCCTTTATTTTTTGCCAGGCAAAAGTTGTATATCCTGCTTTTAGTAGTGAACAGTTAAAGAAGTGTGATGCAGTGGATGTGATTTAAGATCTTTTGATAGTAAGATCGTGTGATGCAGTGGATTTGATTAAGATCTTTAAGGTATTGCCAGTACACAGAAGGCCTTCTCAAGGATTTAATTTGTAATAGTGAGGGCATCTGCAGCTATTTCTCGGCTGTGTTGAGTCTGAAGATCACTTAGTTTCTTCTTTAAGATGGACAAACCAGACAAAACAATGTTTTCAGGACGTAAGGAACCACAACTCTGAATACAAATACAAACATCTCGGACAAAGTGACTTTGATGTCCGGCAATGATAGCTATCTATGGAGTAACATGACAAAGCCACTTGACCTAAATTTCACTATGTACTTGCTTTATACATAAAAATACGTGACAAACAAACTGATTCATTTACAAGCCTCAAAACTCATGCTTCACTATAACCTGGATGACTGGCATAAAGAATCAATTGATTATTGAAAATTTACCTCAACGTTAAAGTAGAATTTGTCCGGCCTTCCTGTTGGATCAAACGGCGCTTGGTCTGGAAGATAAAACATTTTATTAACTTCTGAAACATGCATTCGTAAATTTTCAATGCTGGCATGGTTTTAAAATATTGTAATTGTTCCTTTTACATACATTCATCCTCTTCCAACAGCGAATATTCACTTTTCGGCCTGCAAATTTAATGGTTTCCATCATTTCAGAACTAAGATTGACATAATCAGTGATATGTTTGTAAATGTATATCGTCCAGGTTGGTATAGTCCTGAGAAGGACTGTTTTTGTTGTTGTTGACTGACGTTTCGACAACCTTAGCGGTAGTCATCTTGAGAGTCAAATGACAAAAAGCAGTCATTCTCAGGACTATACCAACCTGGACGATCTACATTTACAAACATGTAACGATACTCCCAGGTTCAAACCATTTACTTTATAATCAGTGATAGTTAAAGCAACATTACAAGATCCCATACCGCACAAACATTTATTTGATTACATGGAAATGAAGAAAGTGCAAATGAAAACAATATTGTACAAAACCTACAAAAATACAATAATATTATGTACCATTCCTCGACTTTGGGATAAGTTGTGTGTCTGAGAGCAATGTCAGGATCATACTCAAATGCAACACCAGCTGTAGGATTCCATTTTGCATGCTCTTTTGCAAACCCCTAAAGATCAATAAAATATGGCTATCAAAAGACGATATGTTTGAAGAAGACAGAAGCAGATGAACATAATACAGCATACCTTCTTGGCAAAGGCATGTAACTTTAGTTCCTGTTCAAGAAAAATATTATTTAAAGGACTGCAAAAATGTTAAGGGGTAGGATTTCACAAAACTCAGCACAGGGTTGAGTGTTCACAGCCAATATTTGTATAAAGACATGAAGACAGCGACAGCAAAAACATACAATTTTTTTTCTCAAATTTAATTTGTAAGGTTGGTCACATGGTGTAAGGTTGGTCATATGATGTAAGGTTGGTCATATGGTGTAAAGTTGTATTTAGAATAATATACATGAAAAAATTTCTCAATTGGTTATGAGCAGTGCAATTTATTTTTGAAAACTGTGCTCCTAATTGGTTATTCAAACAAAGAAGTGATCTTCGTAAGAGCCAATCATAATACAATATTTCGAAGGCGGGAAAGTTTAAGTTATTGTAAACAAAGCAACTACAATGGCTGGCGAAGTTTCAAGTTGATTTTCTTTGGCGAACGAGTTTACAGTTCACCGTTTTCAAAGTATTTCTGTATGAAAACATGAACACTGCTAAAAGATATCTTGTTCTTGTGCGCGGAAGCTATGGTGTTGTGAAAAGTAATATTTGACGGAATTCAAAAATACGAGTCGGTCGATATTTACAACTTGCCGGCAGGATTGAGAAATTTTTTCATGTATATTATTAATAAGTAATAGCATGGTTTCACGTGCAATTTGGGAAAAACAGGCACTCGTCCTTCAGACTCGTGCAATTTTGATAGTCTTTGAAAAACTCACTCGTGCATGTTTTTCCCGAATTGCACTCGAAATCATGCTATGACATATACGAATCCTACCTGAGTGGCAAATCGAAGTGAACATAAGGTTTCCTGGAAAGAGTCCTCGCGAGGAGAAAAATTCAGGAACATCAAACTGAAATATGAATGTATTATTTAGATACACTAACTATCACAACTAACACATGTTAATACTTCATGTCATCTACAATGACGTTTGTACATTGATGAAAATCTGATACACATATATTCAGTAATACCAACCTTTTACTGTTACCACCAAGAGAGTTTTGCAACAAATGAGTTAATTTCGAGTTTCTATAAGGCACGTGACTACCCTAAAATGTATTTTAATTTATTTGATTATCATCTCTCTACACAGTATAGCTACGTATGATTGAGTAAAATTTAAAAACAGACGCAAACATACGGTGGCTCACAAGGGCCACCACACAAAATAAAAATATTAATACACACACAAAATAAAAATACACACACAAAATACATTATACACACACAATATAAAAATACACACACAAAATAAAATACACACAAAATAAAAATACACACACAAAATACATTATACACACACAAAATAAAAATACACACACAAAATAAAAATACACACACAAAATATGATTGCGGGCGCTTGCAGTGTCGGATGGTCTGACTATCATATTATCAGTTTGTAATCAGATATGTGTAATTCACTAATTGTGATTTTAACATGTGGTCGACTTGTCGTCGTATTTAACTGTTTCAACTGCGAAACATTTGAAATTACATTTGGAAAGGAATCGAAAGCAAGCTCTTGCATAATCCTGGCATAATTATGTTTTGTGCCAACTGTGGTGCACAATCACTTGACGAAGCTTCTTTTTGTCACAAATGCGGTGTGCGTTTGGGAAGATTAACTTTGCCAAAATGTTCTGAAGCGTCAATGACGAGTAGCGTCTCTTCTAGCAGTTGCCCTTCGAGCTCTGCAAGTCCGTTAACTTCAACTTCAAGTACCCCAAAGCTGTTTATAACTGGTACAGGACAGGCTAGAGCAATAATGTCCTTTCAAAGGACAACACATTAACCTTAATTTTAACCAGAATACGGGGAGCAATATCGTAAGCAACTTTGAAATAATTGATCACAGTGAAATCAGTGAATTTTGTTATGTACTCTGGAAGTTGGAACCATTAGAACTTTGAAAACAAAAGCGATCAATTACGAGCAATTCCGAGGAAACCGACACTGCAAGCGCCCGCAATCATATTTTGTGTGTGTATTTTTATTTCGTGTGTGTATTTTTATTTTGCGTGTGTATTTTTATTTTGTGTGTGTATTTTTATTTTGTGTGTGTATTTTTATTTTGTGTGTGTATAATGTATTTTGTGTGTGTATTAATATTTTTATTTTGTGTGGTGGCCCTTGTGAGCCACCGTACAAACATTTATTTTCTGGAATAAATAATCTAAACATGCAATTTTTTATTGTTGAAATTGCAAAGAACGGTCTATTGTTGCAGATGTATATATTTTTCTTATATTTATGTAATGTTTAAAAATCGCATTGTGCACAGCGTTAATCAATAAAATACAAAAATCATATCTCCTGTCAATGAATTAAAGTTCATCCATCATAAGGTAAGTATATGCTTACCTTCTTAGCCAAGAAGTTGAAGACTATACCCAAATGTGTGAGGCTCTAGTTTATGTCATTAGCTTCCTTAAGTCTTAATCCTGTTGATCCGGATTGACTTATTCTTTCAGAACCCGCCAGATCAACCAAACTCAATACCCCTGAAAAAATTTAGCTCATCGTCATCGCAAAACAATAGATAACAATTTTGCAGATTCTTTTGCTACTGAATATATAATAAATATCGAGGACCCATTTACAGCCACGGCGCCAAAGAGAGTGGGGACTAGAGCACACACCACCCCCCACCCCACTTTTTCCCCAGATAAAGTTTTTGCTAACATTTATACATTTTAGCTAAATTAAAGGCAAGGTAAGACGTAGTATATTTAGTTAATATATGTCTTAAGCCTGTTTTCCAATAGCCACGTATCGTAACGTATCGTAGCAAAACGTAACAGGGCGCATGCTATGATACGTTACGACACGTGCCTAGTGGAAAACAGGCTTTACCCAACCCCCCTCCAGATTTGATTTCGCTGCGCAGTCCCTTTTTTGCCGCGTGGAAACGTGTTAAAGCAAAATAAAAGCTGGACTAAACATATAGAACTAAGTCGATAGTCAACATCCATATTCTAATATGACGAACTATTTCAAAAATTCTTAAACTGAAAACAAAAACATAAATATGCATAATCCTGCCTTGACTTAGTTCCCCAGTAATCTCATTACTCCCGACGAGTTTTAGTTGAAAGACAGAGTGACTTCTCGACGAGCGATCGTTACAGTTTGTAGCGGCCACAGAACGATTTTCGTAAGCCTTTCGAAGTAAACTGGACACCTAGAGTATGAAAATTTTACAATATAGATAAAAAATAACAATAAACAACAGCAAAAAGTGAGTGAGACCACACTCATTGTAATCATGTTTCTTAAAGAGTAAATATGCCATGACAAGCTCACTTACCTAAAAATGACGTACGTAACAAAATAATAGGGAGCTTTAGCAAAGACTACGAGTACGACTTACGTCATTTAAAAGGGGAGTTGGGAATAAACAAGAATCAAATATTAAAATAATATTACTATTATTTATTATTTATTATTATTATTAATAATAATAATAATAATAATAATAATAATTTACAGTTTAATATTAATATAATATTACAGTTATAATATTTACAATAATAAATATTATAACTAATAATAA